TCTCCAGGAAAATTTCCGAATCCTTGTTCAGTCTTTTTCTAATCGTACTGTCATGAACTTTTACATATAACATGCTAACTGAGGCTTGCAGGTCTGAGCCGTAGCACTTGGGTTTTGGTAGTTTCTCTGAGGATTCAGTGGTTTGGACCTTGGGCTGAATTTGTTGGGACTTCCACTCCCAGAAAGAGCTGTCTTTGAATGATTTTCGCTTCTTTCTTACTGTAAAATAAATAGTTTGGAAATGTCTTTTTCCAGATTGATGGGAAGCAACAGTTGCTTCTCTATGATCATTGCTGATGTCTTTGCTCCTTGACATTGTGTCATCACACCTGCATACAGCAAAATGCCCAAACCTCTGTTTTTAGAGATTTTTAGACCTGGTCTAGAGAAAGAGGATGCACTTTTCCACATCACTGTAAATCAAACTGCTGGGAGAACCCGTTTAGACTGCGCTTTTTGATGCAGGCAAAACATCAGAGTTTGGCTCCAGCATAAAAATAAGTTATGATGTATTGTTCATATTTTTTCCTACTGCTGGTCCTGTATTATTCACATGGCCAGTATTCTAAGCTATGGGTTTTTGCAGAAACAGTACAAGAACACAGAGGCACTGTAACATCGACTCCCTAGCTCACACGTCCTCGTACCTTAATGTCTGCTCCCTACTCTAACTGAATATTGAGCCCTAAACAAACAGATGGAGGATAAAGACAGACAGAGCAACTTTAAACCCTGCTGTTGCTATGACAACACTGACTGGCCTCCATGTGAGAACAGTGAAGTGATCACTGTGGAAAAACAGGTGAACAGTAGATAAGTAAGGAAAAACAAACCGATTTGCTCTCCAAGACCTCTTCTTCAACGGGCTCCAGACGGATCTCCTGTGGAACAAAAGGAAGTGATGAGTCCTTTACCAGTGACTCATTTTCATTTATCTCAGTGTATAACCCGTCATTCACAGTCTTTATTTACAAGTATTACACGGCCCATTGGTATGCTTTTACAGATTTATTGTCACATATATGAGCTGTTACTACCATAAGCTAAAAACTGCAAACAGCTCTAAATGCTCAGTTCCAGGAAGCCTTCTCTGCTCCTTGTTTCTGTACGAGTTTATGAAGGCAAATATCTTTCTATAACCATCTAAGGCCATATAATTACATGTCTAGTGTGAGCATAGAAGCCCAACCCAATCACAAGAAAGCTATCTTGAGAAGGAGAAGATAAAATGGGTTGGTGCAGACAGAAGATGAGATATCAATATGAATAATTAATTATATTATATCTAAACTCTGAATTATACTAAGCCACTCAAAGATACTCCAGCAGCTGAAAAAGAGAAAATCAAGTCTCCTTAAAACCTGCAGTGACTGATTTTTCCAGCTGTTGGCAACACAAACAAGTTGCAGAACAGAACAAAGAAAGAAATATCCAGACAAACCAGTTGTTTTTTGTTTTTTTTGTTTTGTTTTAGTAGAGCTCTTTTTTTTGGTAATGATCTCATGAGCTCTAAGATTTATCTTCTGAGTCCTTGTGGTTACCATGTATGAGTATAACTACATAATAAATAAATTAATAAATGCATTCAATTAAAACAACATTACTATATCGATACATTTTTAAAAATTAAAATATATAAATCAAGAATGAAAATAAAAAATTGAAATCTTCATAAAATAATTAAAAACGTATAAAAGGATGATTAAAAATACAAAGAGAGACATGAAATAATGAAATAAGGATAATCTATTAGATTCCTAAAAGCATTAATCATAATAATGCTTTGAAAAAAATGAGCATTTAGAGTCAACTGGGGTTTAAATTTCAGATATTTATATTATTCATATTTATGCTTGCAGTTGTTCACAGTCTTGCACTTGTAATGTAAACAGATCACAGCTTTTTTTGGGTTTGCGTGTCAATTTATTTTATCTACTTTTTACACCACATTTTATGCAGAGAGCAGCCATGATGGTTTGTGTGCAGCTGGTGCTGCCTCTATACGTACATATGTGCATGTGTCTGCATGTGGGTGGGTGTTGTTGGACGAGTGAATATGTTGACACAGTTTTAAATCCACTTGCCATAATCTCAGGTTAGTTTCAGAAAATGATGCAAAACTCAGATGGTTGAAACAGAGACAGGAGAAAGATGTGAAACAGGAAATGTCAGAAAGAGACCCACAAGAAGAAGGTAGGAAGGAGAGGAGACTGGAAAGGCTGAGCGAAAGGTCAAGTAACCTTTTGTTCTAGGCGGTCGATAAGTTTCTGCAGTCTGTTGACCTGGATTATCCACTGGCTGTCTTCATCATAAACACCTGGAGAGGAGAGAGAAGCAGAGAGAAGGATGGATTTCAGTCAGAAAGGTGGGGATGAAAGGTGCTGCATACATCGACTGTATTTTAAACACTTTCCATCGACTGCCTCAACAGTCGCTGTTGTAAGGGGTGGCGGTGTGCCAGGAGGCATTTTAAGGATCCCTTTCATGTCATGCGACAAGAAACCAGGCCAATCAATGAGAAAAGCTTTGACCACTGTAATCGAAGTTCCTAGATGCTCTGTCGTTTTTTTGCAGATCTCCTAGCAACCACATCTGGCGCTATAATCCAGGTCGACGGTTAAAAACGTATAACAATGAAAATAAAAACCACTGGAAACATGTAACTGTCGTAGATAAAGGAATATTTATCAGGATTCTAATCAGAAATATTATAAAAATCATACCTAGATTTCATATTTATTTAATTTGAATCAGGTTTTATGACAGTTAAGTAAAATCTAGATGCAAACTAAAAAAATGAAGAAATTGCAGGTGATGGCAAAACAACTCCAGGAACAGCTAAACAAGCTGAAAACTAAAGCAGGTTGATTGATTGTATAGTAACTACAGTCCTGTATAATGTCAGAGCTTGTGGTAAACAGCACATACTGTGTAGTAGTATCTGGAGTTGATTAGTAATAGATTATAGAACAAAAGAAGTAACTCAGATTACAGAAATAAACAGCCATTAAGAAGCCATTTTTCTCACTATAATTGACAGTGACTACGTAAACATAAAAAAAGCTTTGTAGATGTAATCAAAGTCAATAGCTGACCCCTAATTTGACCCTGCACCCCTGCTAAACTGATATTAGCAGGGGTGCTAATGTTAGTATGTTTTAGCGAACTAGAACTGGAACCCAGCTGCAGAGCCAACAACAGGACAGCCAATTATAATGCGCTCTGCAGGTACTGCATTGAGACTTGCCACTGACCTCCAAATATGTGCAACTTCAAACCTCCACCTGTGCACCAGATAAGTGGCTTTGAAACTAAACATAGAAACACATGTGGTCACAGCCTTCCTCAAGCTCCCTCTGTGTGTCTCACTGCACTGTTTCTCTCACACCTACATGACCTTCCTTCCCCTCCTGTGCTTCTGGCAGAAACAACGCAGGATAACTCAAGGAAGGAATCACAGTCAAACATAACGCAACACAACATGGTGATGGAGAGTTATTTAAACATAAAAAACATTTTAAAAAAACCCACCTGAACTGATGAGGCTAAAGAGAGGGTTGTTGGGGGAGAGGCTGTTGTTTCTCTGAAGCCTCCGATTAGAGCGACGACCCGACCACTGGATGGACAACACCTCTGGCTTCACAGGACCCTGTCTTGAATCAAAACAGGCCAGTAAATATCCTAAGCCTCACATATTTCAGCATACATTTTTACTTTCTTTATGTTTTTCTTAAAAAATGTCAAACCACTGAAGGACACACTGCATCACAGCCCTCTGTAAAGTACACATGCTCTTTCAGCACATGTCGTATGTGGTGATCACAAAATTACAGTTAAATTATTTGTTTTTTTCTTCTATTTCTTACAATCTGTGATGAGAATCAGGGGTCTGGAGCCACAGTTGTCTTGACTTGCATTACATTTCTATGTAATGCTGGTCTGACAGTGATACTAATGGCAGTGACAAGGTATGTGCACCTACAGGGTGTCTTCACCTAAGATTTATCTTACTGCTGTCAAGTTGTTGGTTCCCATACTTTGAAGGGACCTCAGGGTGTCTGTGAGCAGGCTGCGTGTGAACATGCATGATTTTGTGCATGTGTGTGTGTGCGCCCGCGCGCATGCATGTGCGTGTGTACATAGCATTTCATAATTCTATTTTGAACTCGTTCTACCTTTTAAACACCCTACATGCTCACTTCTTTTTCAGTTCCAGGACTATTACCAGATACAGTCACGTGGGAAAAAAAGGTCCTGTGTAACCAGAGCATGCAATGATCAGAGTAACTACAAACCCAGTCAAACAAGAAAGGATTGCTTAAAGTACGTTATTGCTGCTAAATGTGCTTCTGCAGTCATGGGTATATTTAGTTTTTCACACACTGCTTCTGTATTCTGGTTTACTTTTGTTAAACAAATGATGGCATGCTGTAATCACGTGTTTTTCTTCATCTGCAGTTGTGTTTAATAGCAAGAAAACCAACAAAGCTTTTGAAACTGAAGTTTTATAAGGGAGAATGAACAAAAATTTCAACAAGCTGATGTTGGAGACTGATGGCAGATGAACAGCAAAATACAGTAAAACTTTGTTTGAGGTATAAGACCAACTTATACTCTAGATGTAAACTTTACAAACCCTTCACTTATTAATAAACAGTGGGAGTGATATACACAGACATACATGTATATTTTAGCACCATCCTACACGGTGGCTGTAACAGCTTATTGCTGAAGGAGCTGCTCAGGGCCTCCAGTCTCATGCAGGGGTGAGAGGTGTTACCCATAATGGATATGAGCTTGGCTAACATCCTCCTCTCACCTACCTCCTTTATAGAGTCTACGGGGCTGGCCTGGACACATCTGGCCCTCTTCACCAGCCTGTTAAGCTATTTTATTAATTATTCTTCTTTAATTCAAAAGAAGACTGAATCTGTTCTTTCAAACATGTTTAAACGTTTACATTGATTTTTAAAAAGTCACACAGAAAACATTTTACACGGGATACACTTGTTTTTCAAGACTGTGTGATCGAAACTTTGTTTTTCAACTGTAACTGTGCAGTATTCAGGAGTGCACTCATTTCAGTCTTAATGTAATGACTTTTGAAACAACCAGGTTTTCTTCAGCTTGATCTGCTCTTGTTGGGAAGAGAGTGGTGGGGCATAGCACAGTTTTTAATTCACAAGCTGTTGTCTAATACATCTATACCACTGAGACTTGATGAGGACAAATTGGGAGGGGCAGATCCCTTTTGATCTGCCAGTGAGTCATAATCTCACCTACATCGCTGCTTTAATTGCTAAAACTTTCAGAGATATCTAACAGATCAAAGCACAACAGCTTCCCCATCCACATGTTCCTCCTACAGTTTTTATGCCAACTGGGGAGGAGGGAAAAGAGGTTTCGAAGCTGGAGAGCAAAGTGCGATCTCAATGCTCATCTTTTTCCAGAGAGGATGATGAAGAAGATAATGATAACAGGAAACATAAAGCTCTTGAGGCATTGTTATGGCCCAAGCTCAGTTCTGAGTAATACCATCATAGCCTATTCACATATACCTACAACTGAATACAAAAACCTATTTTAAACCACCAGAGAGAACCACATCTCCGAATGTTTGGAAGGACGGAGCAATTCAAACGCACAAGGCAATTTCTCCAGTGAGACGGCTGCAGGAAGAGGAGAAGCTGCTTGGGGAGCGAGCGACAGTCACACTTTGAAATGACGTGAGAATGAAAGAACGATGCATTTAGAGGGAAGACGGTCTGTGAAGGTCTCCTTAATTTAAAGGTCGTTTATCCCAGCGTATCATTTTCTGCCCATGAGAATAAATGTCAACATAATTATTGTGTGAAACAAAATATTATGGAAAGCAAAACTGTATCAACCCGAAAATATAACTGGAAGTAAAATGATTTGATGGGGATTTGGATCTTTGGTTGCGATTTCGATAGCTGCAGATGTAACGTGGGAAAACATAAGAGACATAATGTGGCTAAAAAAGTAGACTGAAGCCACCCCTCATTTCTCTACTGTTTCCTATTTTTAATTCTGAGATAAAAAATGGGAAAACTGGTTTAGTGAGCTCTTGAAACATGTGCAAACATACGTGGAAATGCAGCATATAAGGCAAAAGCAGAGACTGTGCAGTTCTAATGAGCTTGGAAGTCAATAATTGGAGCTTGGAAAGAAAAGTGACTGGACTTTGAAGTTTTTTTTTTGTTCAACCTCTCATCAGTTCAAAGTCACTATTGGGTATTGGACCACCTTCATTTTCCAACACAGCATAAACTCTTTGGGATGTTTCTAGTAATTTGTAGTCCTCATGAATAGTTATCCAGGCTTGTTGAAGGACATTCAAAGCTCTTCCTTGGATGCTTGCTGCCTTTAGATGATCTTTTCCAGATGCTGTAGGATTTTTGTTTAAAATCTGGTTGCACTTCTGTGCACCACCACCACCAGCTGAAATGCAGCCCTGAACAATGACAGAGCCTCCATCATGCTTTACAGATGGCTGTAGACGTGCACTGCTGTGCCTCCTCCGTACAAGCTGATGATAACTTGAACGAAAAATTCCAAATTTAGATTCATCACTCCATCAGACTGGTTGCTCCTGTTTTTCTGTTTAGTTTCTGTTTAATTTGGCATACCTCAGCCTTTTCTCCTTGTTTTGTTCCTTAAGCATATTCTAGTCAGCCACCCTTCCACTGAGATCGTTTCTGATGAGGCTTCAGTGAACAGTGGATGGATCTGCAGATGCATTTCTCAGGTCCTGTGTTGGGTTTTTTGCTTTTTTGCGTCAGAGATTCTTAGTAGCTGCATCCATGGTATGAACTTTAAAACCCTACATCGCCTCACTTTTGAGTTATTGTACTGGGTGTCCATGTTTTCTGCCCTGAGGGTCAAAAATGAGCATAAATAAAATCAACTGACTTGATTTTGGAATCACTTGTGTCATTCTTCCTGAATTTGATCACAAATGTCAAGGAAAATTCTGTATGATTTCCAGCAGAAGGCATAAAAATAATTAGCATTGTTCCTGTACTGCACTCCAAAGCCTCTCAGTGCTGGAGTGTCACATGTTTGTCAAAGATACCAGCTGCTCTCCACTGAACTTCAACCTTTGCTGCATAAAGATTAAGGTGGCAAGAAAAAAACAAAAGGACTTAAGGACTGCGATTAATGTGTTTGGAATACCAAAATCCAGCATCCAATAAGCACTTAATTAGAAACACAGCAAGAGTTTGCAATGGAGTGTTTTCAGCCATATGTTTCCTCCGCAGAGACCGAAGAGCAATTAGGGAAACACAAAACAAGGACAGCCTGGAATAAAAAAACAAAACAAAACAAATGTATTATTTAGTAACAGTTCAATTTCAGAATCTGTTGAATGCAGGTTTGGTTACAAATGGCAGCAAATTGTTGCTCAATTGTTGATCTGAGATCGGTGACAGGTGCATCATTACCTGTGCTTTAAACACACCAGGATTATAATGAACACAGACATGACCTGCAGGGGACACTCATCTACATCCACACTCACGCCATATATAATATGTTGCACGCTGGTGACTCATCCTCACTAATGAGGCATGTCTGATTCCTGAACGCAGATCCAGACTGATCAAATACTTTGAGCACATGCGGGAAACAGAGTCCACTAAGAACATGAGCCTCGGGTTGAATCATCACTCCTTCACTTTTCACGCTCAGAGGCGAGTATTCATTAGCAGTCAGCGCATTTATAGAAATTATAATAATAAGATCATGACCACATTAAGGTCATATTTTTAACATTCTAGTCTTCTAGGCTTGCAGTAGTAAAAACAAACTGCCATTTTTACACATTGCACAACAGTTGTGACAACACAGCAGCAGAAATCCAACAACCCTGATTCTGAAAAACAATGCTGTATAGACTGTTAATAAAAGCAGT